GCCCTTACCGGGGATTGAACCAGGAACCTCTAGCCCTCGAGGCGGACTCCATGCCTCAAGACCACGCAAACCCCCTAGTTGGTAATACTTGGCCACATGAAAGCGTACATGGAGTTGTAAGGAAAAGGCAAGGTTGCTAGCACAAAAGGATACGGTCAAAAGACGCAGTAGTGACAATGTGTGACACACATTGTGTGAAAGTGTTTAGTCAGCCAGTAAAGTAAGTTAAAGGTTCATTTTCCAAGCCTTTAGGCGTTTTGGTCAAATAGGGCTAGACCTATATTTTATGAACCAATCGGCACTCGATGGGTGATGTGGTCAACATGACGCCGGCCGCACTTTGCCTGGTACCCATGATGTAAGGCTGGTTTGACCTGGGAGCCAAGGTCATTTTTGAAAAAAAGTCCGGCTCGGGCAGGATCTGAACCCACGACCTTCGATCCCCATGCGAGTGTCTATTTGGGAAACACTGCTTTAGACGCTACATCACGTCTGCTTCCCTTTGTCCTCTCGTGTCTGTTAAACTCTTTAAGACATTCGTATTAATTGTTCTTATGCTAAACTCCTTTTGATAGATGAGGGTAGAAAAAAATATTGATTGGGACCAAAAGAGTCAGATATTTTAGATTTGCCATTGAAAACAACATTGAAGAAACATAACGAACACAAAGCAAGGCAGGACCACACAAAAGACGGAAAAACATTCACAAAAGATGACACAAGGAATCAAGTTTGGACGTAGTAGAAGTAATTTTTCAAAAATAACCTGTTCAACCCTTAGGGTTATAATTGGTATATATAGTGTAAATTAAGTTCTCAGAGCATATATTCGTTATTTTAGATTTATATATCTTTTAATTATTTATATGACAAGAATGTAATTTGTATAATTTCAAATTTTTCTTTGATTTGGGTTTTGATTATGATACATATTGTACTGCGGAGAATGAGACAATCTTACTAACATAGTGACATTGACATGGTGGATATATTGTTTCCTTTGTGTGCAATCATTGATTATTCTCATGGATTTTTTCTTTAGGGGAAACTTCTTTAAAGGTGCCGTCTTTAACCCTCTATCTTTGAATTTTAGTCTTAGTCATAAATTTCTTGACTTTGTTTGGACATGGGCAATGTTAACTTATATTACCCATCATAACAACAACAGAACACATTAAAACGGCATCAAGAACAACTTCAGAAAAATTATGACTAGCTTGTGCAACACACTAGAGAGAGCACGCAAATGATTCTTATATCCCATCAACACAATACAATGCTGAGGTGAGAATAGGGTGGGGGCGGAGCGGGTGAGATGATTTTCTATGATGGCTTGACCCTCAACAAAAAGTAGTTCATAACACATATTTCCTTTTTTGCTTTGGTCAGCATCACTTATTTTGTCTTGTAGAATTACTGGCAAACGAGTAAGTGGGAGTATATAATTCACACCGTTGAATTACAGGCTGAGTATGGAATTTTGAAATATTTCGAACATTTCTCCTAACTACACATTAACAAACGCAGTAAAAATCTCTAAGTAAAGCCTTTTAGGACCTTTTTTCACGCCTTCATGCTTATTTGGCATGTTCTGCAAGACCTTTCTTTTACAGACCAATCGTTTGATGATGTCACCATCACTCAGGCTGCCTTTACTTCCCAGGACTCTATCTAAACATCTGAAGAAACGACCAGATGAAACGCTGCATGCCAACCAACTGGCACTCAATACGCTCCAGAACATGGAAAAGAGGGTTTACTTATTTTACATGTTAGGACTGTTTGTATCCTTGCAGGGAGAAAAATATGATGGAAGGAAGGCTGATGTCTGGAGCTGTGGTGTCATTCTCTATGCCCTGCTAGTTGTAAGTAACAATTTATTTATTGGTGATTGTGTTGATGTATTTATTAATGCCCTACTAGTTGAAGGAAATACGTTTTCCTTGCCCTTCCACACAAGAAGAAAAGAATTAAATACACACATAAATATGTTCCGGAAGATCTGGAGTAAGTTGCTCACGGTGACAGAGAAGAAGACAGCTTGGGGTAAGCAGCTTGAGGGGATTTAGCCGATGCTCAACGCTTAGAGGAAAGGCAAGGTGAATATACGAGATAACCGCTTCTAGTCCCTTTTTGGATATGGAATTCTGCGCTGGCTGTTGGAGATGGGAACGGGGCGTTTCTGGGAATGTCCCAAATCTGGTGGTGTCGGTTCTGAACTCAAGGGGAGTAGCTTAGGTCCTTACCAATTTTGAATAATTTTTTTTTTGGGGGGGGGGGGGGGTATGGGGGAAGAGAAGGGGCTAGATATCTAAGCTAGGAGAATCTGCCAACCATATTGATGCTCGTGTCGCCCATTGGCTCGCCGGTAGACAACTTCGTCACCGGTTTGGGCAGTATTTGGGTATGTCTCCTTTGATCGTATCAACAATGCAAGAGTCCTTTTCGGAGCTCTTGGTGGCATGCAATGATAAGCCATTTTGTATGGAGCACATAACCTAGTCACAATTATAACCTAACTTCCACTTCAGGGATACTGGTTGAACGAGACGATTTTGTTTCCTCCAAAAGGCCGCCCCTGGTTTGCAGACTCCAACTTAATGACTTTCAGGATGTGTCACAGGAGTACCTGCATATTAACATGTACTTCATAATGGTGTCATCACTCTGGAGGTTGGAAGTTCAGTTCCAGACTCTATCCTATGATTTATGAGAGCATGTCTTTTAGAGATCACTAGGAGAGTCGATAGATCTACAGAGTACTTTTTTTTTTTTTTTTTTTTTTTGTACGACCATCAGACACTAGATGGAGGTCAAGTCGTTTTGTTGTTGGCACCTTTCCAGCTTTCCAAACAAAAGTGTCACACTGCCCTATGAGGGCACATGAGAATCACAGGCCATGGAGATGACGAGTGCTGTCAATTTGTTTCCGTGACCAGTGAAGGTCATAAGCGTAGTTCCTCCTCTCCATAGCACACAGATTGGGCAGTATTTTTATGGTATGTTTTGTTATGTCATCCCAATCGATGTATTTGCACATTGGGCAATCCCATGAGTGCTCAGTCCTCCCATGCAGCAGCTACTCCAAGGTACCTCTACTGATTGTTCCCATGAGGAGTTGGGTATAGTATCTCCTGTCTTTACCTCGAAGACGACATAGACGTTCTTCACCAAGCTTAACTCCTCAGTCACGCAGTCGTGTTAACGTCAGAGTTTGGCCGTTATCCCCCAACCGAGTCCGAACAGCGTTGATGATATCAGCTCTGTCCATGCTTCTTCCCGTTTGCATTGGTGCATTACTTGCCAGCTGGTCAACTCTGTCATTACCATGTACTCCTGCGTGCCCAGGTACGTAGATTCAGATGATGGAGGTTAACTGCGGCTTTCTAATTCATTCTACCCATTCAGAGCGTCGACTCCCTGTAGCATTTCCTGAAGCATATTCATAGAGTCTGAAACAATTACCGCATGTTTGATCGCTTGTTCTGCTACCCATGCGAGTGCTCTGGAAACAGCAGTTATCTCCATGGTCAAGCTTGACGTAGTTGTCTGGTAAGCATCGTTATCTTCTTTTATTGCTTTCCCCGTCCTTTGTGCTGTACACGCCAATGCTGCTGATCTTGATCTGCATTTCACTGACTTATCTGTGTAAATGACGATGTCTTCTGGATGTGAATGCTGATCAATCGTTGCCCTAATCTCGGCGTCTACAGTGGCAGATATCTTATTTTTGCAGTACCTCCACGGTGTTATGACAACCTTAGACAAGTCAAGCATGTCTGTTGGTGTATCCATCCACTCTTTTCCTTGACTGATCTCGTAAAGATCACATACTTGCTTGATTAGATTTTCTGCCTTGGCAATCCAAGATGAGCCTCTTCTGGTCGGTTCTGGCTGTTGAGAAAAAACAATAACAAACTTCGTGACTCTTGTAACCTGCTCCTTAACTGAGCGGCGATTATATTAAGTCCGTAATTATTTGCTGACTTGAAGTCGTACTTATTCGTTGTGGCGTTTGGCTACGCCTGAAAGTCCCCTTTTTCTTTGTGTGCCATTACTTTCCTGTGGCATAATGGTACGCCTGCGAGTTTCTGTTTTGGACATGCATGTCACTGGTTTTTTGCTGGTTGACAAGTACGCCGTCCCTGATTGCACCAAGGCTGCCTCGCCCATAAGCCCATAAGCCTGCCACTGGGTCTTCGCGCCAATGAGCCTCTTTCGAGACGCACCCCTTTTATATCTTTGATAGCGTTGTGCAGGGGGTGGTTGATATCTACTGATATCCTTGTGTACGTTTTCACCTGAGCAGTATTGTAGAGACTAATGTGTTGCCTAGTCGCTTACATGTACCATGCTCCCTCACATGACCTGCTGTTTACTGCTAAGGAAAGGTAAGACCAATTTCCTTATGGGGTGAAGTCTTCTGACATTCAAGAAGGTATGCGTGACGTCATGTTTGTGGGAAAATATTCTCCCAAACTATCTGTGCCTTTCGACCTGACGTCTCCGTCTTCAACGTGCTTTTCTTTCAGGATGTGCTTCCCTAGCCCGTAACCAACCAACGCCTGACCACCGGGCAGTGGTAGTTTAGTTTCAGAGTATCCTTCTCATAGGTGGGCCGCTGTCCCCAGCTATCGAGTCCCACCTACCCGGGGAAAATACCTAATTAAATTTTTAACGGCATCCTGTGTTGGCGTGGCAGCGCTTCACCAGTCCGGTTGTATGCCATGGGGTGAAGTGATATCTGGGAATCTGCAGCCAAGATCAGTCTGCAAGAACAGTAAATTAAAGGGAGCGAAGCTGGACAAGACTGATATGCAGGAGACCAAAGAAGAAGAATAAAACAACACATCAGCCGCTACACAGTGTGAGATTTAGTGGGAGTTTGATGGAACGCACATATGGACTGAATGGTTCGTTATGCAATGAAGAGATCTGTCAACTAACAACATGAGGTACAAGATAAATGACTCTTTTCCACGCCTTCAGACGTTCTGGGCAAATAGGGCTAAACCCATATTTTACAGACCAATCAACACTTAGTTAGTAATGTGGTCAGCATCACGCAGGCCACCTTTTTTTTCACAGGACTGCATCTGGTACCCACTAGGCTGGGTTGACCTGGGAGCCAAGGTCAATTTTGGGAAAAGTCTGGCTTTGCTAGGACCTGAACATATGACCTTCTAGCGGCTACACCACGGCGGGTTGGAAGTTCTGTATTTGGGTGTTGGGACCACCATAATCAACTGAATGTGCTGCCCCAACAAGACTGTCAGACATTGACAAGGCTGACTGCTTTCTGTCTCCTGCAAGCCAGATCAGTGACCATGTCTGTTGGAACTTCATGACATGAGAGAGCAGCTAGTTAACTGACAAAATCTTCTTTTTCTTCTTCAGCATTTGGCCCTTGAGATTCATTGCTGCAGATATCACCCACCTTCATTCATCTCTCTGGTTGGCCTTCTCTTTCCAGTTGGTGACACCAAGTGTTTGCAAGTCTGCCTGAACATTATCTCTCCATCGTCTTCTTGGTCTGCCTCGTGGTCTACGACCATTCATCTCCCTTATGTATACAGTTTTAACTTCTCTGCCATATGACATTCTCTCAATGTGCCCCAACCAGTTCCGTCTATTAGCTATCATGATGCTAGTGATAATTAAAAAACTGACAACATACGTTGAAAAAATGTTTCTCTATCTCCACCTGTAATGTTTGTTTTCTATCCTTGGTTTAGGGTGCTCTTCCATTTGACGATGATAACCTCCGGCAGCTACTTGAGAAAGTCAAGAAAGGTGTGTTTCACATTCCACATTTTGTTCCCATGGACTGCCAGAACCTGCTACGGGGAATGATTGAAGTAGACGCAGAGAAACGGCTTACAGTCAGTATATTTTTTTTCTGCGTTAAGTCTTTAAATTAAAAGTGAATCTTATCAGAACTATATTTTTGGCCAATACTATGCTATCAGTGCCAAAGTGGACACTTGCGTTCTCTAGTGAACGTAAAATTGTGACAACAGAGATTAAATGCCTTAGAAGAGCTGCAGGAGTTTCAAGGGAAGACAGAATACAAAATCACGAAGTCAGACGAATTTTAGGAATGAAGCCAGTCTTACAGGTTATCAAAGAACAACAAGTGAAGTGGTTTGGATACTTAACAAGAATGCCCTGGTACCATATACCACAGCGAGCCACACTGAAACATTACAACGGGTAGAGAGCGACTGGAAGACCTCAGAAAATATGGAGTGATGGCATAAACAACAGCCTTACAGAAATGAACATCAGTCTTAATAGTGCTCTTCACAGAGCTCTTTAATGAGCGTAACATCACCCTCCCCCCCCCCCCCTCCCCTTCCACCACGCCCCACCCCAACCCACTTCACTTAAGTATATGGTGGAAGAGAAGAAGAAGTCTTTAAATAGGGGCTGGCATGTTGATTTGTGGTTTACAGCTAGGCTACAATAATTGTGCCTTTCAGACCAGCACATCCAGTTTCAGCATTCACCACCCACACAACACACACGCGCACGTGCATGCGCGCGCACACGCACACACACACACACATGCAGACGCACCAAATGGGACCCCAGAACCCAAATGGGAGGTGAGTATTTTACTGATGTGTTCTGCTTTAATGCCTGTTCATTGTTCGTCCACTGTTGCTGGGAAAAAAACATATCTAGAAAAAGAAAAAGGAAGTCACAAGGTATAGTGTAGAGTTTTCCAGTTGAAGTATTTTGCTATGTAGTTTCAAAAACAGTATTGATTTCTACACGTCTTAATCTGGACAGCTGATAGGCAACAGTGGTTGGGTATACAGAGAGAACGATGGATGATGGAGGGGCAAAAATGGCATACACAAAGGAGTTGAATAGACCATGAGGTGGACATGAAGACTGCAAAGAGATAATATCCAGACAGACCTACAAACACATGGAGTCACCAACTGATGAGGACTTATCAGATGAATGTATGAAGGTAGATATCTGCAGCAATGAACCTCAAAGGTTCAGAATGCTGAAGTATAAGAAGAAGAAGAATTTCTTACACTAAAGGAATATCATAATTATCTGGTGTAATCTCTGCATTAGAGATCAGTTTAATAAAAAACCTCACAATAATGCTTTTCTACCTCTGTGGTGCGCAGATACTGATTTCAAGTCTAGCTCTTGATGCTGTTCATGCATATGTTACAATATCTTTCTCTTCCTTGCTTTGTTTCCACTTTTTCCTCCACGCACAGAAAAAAAGATTTTCAGCTTTTTAATTTACTTTCATTTACTTTGAAAAACATGCCCCCAAAAATGGCTTCTCTGTTGTTTTTTTAAGGAGTAAATTTAGAGAACAAATCCTAGTGTTCTATTGTTATTTTTATTGCTATCTAAATTTTCTATTTACAGTTAGAAGAAGTGATGCGGCATAGCTGGGTGCTAGTGTAAGTACTAAATCATTGTTGTACTGTATGTTTAATAGATATTTCATAATGATTTAAAAGGTGAATAATGTCTCTCTGCATTTAAACCCAACTTTATCTTGACAAACCTAGTGTAAAAGGAGGGGATCCAAGCACTTATGGACTGAATGGTTCGATGTGCTGTGAGGATAATCTGTCGACTAACTGACTAAACCATGTGTAAACCATATAAATCTTCTATAAAAGTTGTTCCTATTCTATTCATTAGACCTCTGGCTATAAAATAAAACAAAACCAAGCACTTTTACTGTATCTAAATAGTCTAAATCTGTTTCTGCCAAATTCCCGGTAAACTTTTTAGCCCTCATAAAGGATTTAACTATGATATAATTGTCAGTTGGTAAGTAATTCTGAAAAACAAAGCATGGATGACCAGACATCATATAAAGAAATGAAAGCAACTGAAGATGTCCAAGGATGGCTCTCCTACTCACACAGGACAGCAGGTTAATTTTCTGTACCCACAGGATTCCTCATAATAACTATCTTGTTAAACTAGTATTTGGGATTTGCATCTGTTTGATTCTCATCTGAAAAGTTACTCTTTGAGTCACACAAAAATCAATCTTTCAGGCTACAACCCTTATGGAGACAATTGTAAAAGCATTTTTAAAATTCAAGAAATATACATATAAATATTTAAAGTAAAGTTCAAGTGGCTATGTTGATGATAAAGTTGACCAGCTATTTTTAATCTTACATTTCATCTTTTAAGATATGTCCCTAATCTGGAACCGATACATCTTCATAATATATTTTCATTGCAATGTGGTAAATTTGATGACCAGCTGATGTAACAGAAACACCTTAAATACCATTAGCTAGGCTCTGAAAGAAATGTATTATATTACTTTCAAAGCAGTTTTTGTGACCAAATGGATGTAATTGCAGCAATGATTAAATTTTTTTTTTTTTTTTCAGTTACCTAAATCTTTATATCTAATAACAATATCCACTAGCTAGTTGCAAGTTTCAGAATGTTATCTTTTCTTCATCATTGAAAGTAAATATTTTAAAGTGCTGTTTCATTTTTATTAAAGAAGATGGAGAAGAAGACAACATGACTAAACATATGAAGGATAGTTACATTGCAAACATAGTTTAGCACAGTCAGAGTTTTTCAAAACATTAAAAAATGAAAGGATCTTCTCCATGCCACTGAAGATAATCCCAAATAACAGAAATGCACCTCAAAATCTTATCAAGCATTTGACATGTCAAAGCTATAAACACGATGTCTAGGTTTCCGAATGTTCTTTTCCATGTAAATGAACAGGTGCATAACCTATCACAGTGTCTATGCAAGCGACCACCATTCCTGCTCTAAAACTACCAAGATTTATAATACATTTACAGTTTGCAAATGTCAAAGCAGTTTTTTTTTTTATAACTGCATTTTTTAATTCTAGGGGATCTAAGCAAGACCTTGAAGCAGAATTACCTATGATGCAAATTGTACAGGTACACTAAGTTGCATACCCTGAATTTCACAAATCCACCTTAGACAGTCAGTGGAGTGTGTGCTGTCTTGTCAGTTGCAAATATAGGAACTCAGCTGTTGTCAGAATAGTTCCTGTTGTGAATTATAATGCTGTTTTCATCACTGTTTTATTATTTCAGTCGTGACTTCAATTTGTTTGGTTTTATGGGTCTCATCCACTTCTGAGACAACAACTTAGTATTAATTATACTGCATTATTATTTTTTTAATATATGTTAGTTTTATAGCAAATATTGCATTAATTTATTTTGCATATGCTAGTTGCACTACTTAATTATTTTTAAAATTTATTTTAAAATCTTTTCTCAAGTAAATGTAGACAAAAACTAAACTACTACAACAACTACTAAAGATTGAGCAAGATATTTCTTTTATGAACACAAAATATTTCAGTTATAAATACAGTATAATTTTGTTGTTACATGTTAATAAATGACAGAAATTATTAATGCTACATTTATTACATATAAACAGAATTTAACTTATGATATTCAACATATTCACATTCATGCTCAAAAACAAGCATGGGAATCAACATAAAAGCAGCTAGGAAGATAAAATTAAAGACCAACATACAACAAGCAATCATTTCTGTATATCTATAGTTTTAACAATTAGATTACTAAATACAGAAACAAAAAAAGTGACCTCAAATAAATGTAATCTACATGACAGATAAAAAAAAAACTTGTTTTTGGCCTTTCAGTTACACTTTGTGTCAACATAACAAACATCAACCTAATTCTTCTTCTGCTCCTCTTCCTCCTCATCTTCTTCTTCTTCTTCTTCTTTTTCTTTTTCTTCTTCTTCTGCTTCTTCTTTCCTTCTCCTCCTCCTTCTTTTTCTTCTTTTTCTTCTTCTTCTTCTTATCATTATTATCCTTTTTCATCCTACTCCTTTCCATCCTCCTCCTCACTCCACCAAAGTGTTTTTGGAGATTGTAAGGGTCTTCTGAATTCTTTCCAATGCAATATAAAAGCTGGTCTTAATTTCTTAAAATTTGTTCTTGATGCTATCGTTCCATGTTCTGCATGGTCATTCTCTTGCTCTTTGTCCATTGTATTTCTTCAGCATTGTTCTCTGGGGCAGTCAGGACATTATCATCAGAGGGCCAAACCATCTCATTTGTAGCTCTTCAATAAACTATATGACTGGCTTCAGTCCTAATCTTTTTCTAAATGTGCATTTTAAAGTGTATTTCTTCTTGTTACGCTGACAGTTCTTTAAAGACATCTCTGTTTTTATGATTTCATGCTTACTAGTTTTAGTAAGGGTTCCTGTTTGACACTTGTAGCATAAAGCTGGCCAATAAATAGTTCTTCATAAATATGTATTGGTATACAAAGGTATACCTCTGTGTGTCAAAAGTGGTGGTAGTTATCTCAGTACCTGGTTTAGCTTCAGCACATGGTATGTTGATTTAACAATGGTCACCAGCTGTTTCTATTTCCTGTAATTGCCTGGAAATGTTACACTTACTCAGAAAGTAAAGACTGACAGTGAACAACAAAGCTCCGTAAATTTTATGGTTAATTTTGCGAGCACTAAGTTCTTCTTCTTTGGTCTATGCGCATTTTATAGGTCATCATATCTGTCTTTATGCTTTTTTCTTTAAGTGTTTCCAGTCATTTCTGATACAGATGTTCGTCTATGCTATAATTTACCTAAAGATTTTCTTTCTTGGTCTTCACTGACTATTTTACCCTCTAGCTGTCCTTTAAAATTGCAGTTTTTCCATTCTAATGATATGCCTAAAAGATGTTGATTGTTCTTTCTGGCCATGATATTTCTAGGTAAATTAATTAATTTCCTGCCATATTCGCTACACTTTTCCTTTTTCTTTTATTAAATAATATTGTGTCAACTTCCAAATAATTGCTCTCAGCATAACATGCACAGTCTTTCTATTTATCTTAATAAAAGTAAGGTGTCAGATCACAGCCAAATAATTATAATATTTATATACAAATTGTTAATAGACTTTACTTCAAGTCAATTATTTCACATTAATTCATATTAAGAAACATAAATTATGAAACTCTGAAGTCAAAATTTTACATATCTTAACTTAAAATGAGTTCCATTGCCTGAGACCCTTAGGGACAGTCAGTTTTGGTCTGGAATTTTGTTTTGACATTTTGTTCCTTTTTCTTTATTGTTTTGATATTGTTGTGGTGATCACCTAATAAACAATGCTGGTTCTTACTAACTTGCCTATTTTCACATGCTGCCAATAAAAGCACTTAGTGTGAAGTGACATTTTGATGGCTGTCAGTTTTGTATTGAGCAATTACAGCAAAGGAATATCTTCATTTGGAAATCTTTAGTAACTGGAAATTTTAAAAATTGATGCTAGTACACATGTAAAACAATTAATTATTGTGGTAATCAATTTTTTTTCATAATTTAAGTAAAGATAATAAAACTATAACACAGCTTCCAAACCATTAGGAACAAAATAGTGTCATAAATATTCTTTTTTTAAATTTAATATAAATTACATAAATAACACAGTAATTGCAAAAGTAAAGTTTAAAATCTCAGTTCTGACCTTGGGGCATAGGCCTACTGAGTAAATGGTTTTTAAAATAAAATATAAAAAAATTAAAATTATGATCATACAAATTATCACCCAGATTCATAAATATGAAACTACAATCCACTGGAAAATATGAAAGTGTCTGTTACTCAAAACTTGAATATATGAAAACATGTGTAGCTGCCATCATTATCATGTAGCAGGCACTTTGCAGAATAATTTTCTCAGCACTGTTTAGGTGGATAGACTATTGATCTTTCACCAGTTTGCCTGCCTCATAAATTTTTATGCCAAGGGTTTAATTTATGTCATGTGGGTAATTTCATGTTGGCAGCTCCAGGTCTCTACTTTAAAAAATTGCTCTTCTCTTTTAAAAACCATGTCTTCCATAACTGTTCTTTCAGTATCACTGTAAAAGTTAACATGGCCAAAGTATTTCAGTTTCCAAGACATAAGGCTGTTCATGAGTCAGTTTCCATTCATACTCATATCTTGTAGAAAGTCTTGATTTTTTGTTTTTTGCACTTGATCCAACAAATTCTACTACATTTTGTTAAATATTTTAGTTTAAAAAATCTCTACACAATATTTTTTAATGACTGTGAGATGATCTAGAATTCACAAGAAATGATACATGTTCTCAGAATGTGTACTTTTATTTGAATGCTAGAGTTTTGTCACATTCTCTCAATGCTGTTGAACTTGTTTGTTGCTAAAACTCCTTCTGAATTTTTGCGAATAGTCACACATTTTTTTTAATTATTGAGTAAAGGAATTCAAAGTTTTTGACATTTTTAATTACTGTTTTGCAATTTGCGGCTACAGTTTTAATTTATGAAAATATACATTGTTATCAAATCCTCTGGTTTAAAAATATTTTTACTATCTTAATTGGAAATTAAGAAACGTTTGTTGTAATATAATATGTTATTTTATATTAAAATACTCTTTGTTGACAAATGTAAAAATTTGAAAATACTTGTTACCAACAAATACATAAATATGGGGAGAAAAAAACAGTAAACGATAAATTTGTCATAATTTTTTTCTGATTACAATTAACAATATATTAACAAGGAACTATGGTTACATCGTCTTAGGCATTTCAAACCTCTGAGGTTCATTGCTGATAGCCTCACCCACCTCCATTGATCTCTCTGACTGGTCTTCTCTTTCCAGTTGGTGACTCCAAGCATTTGTAAATCAACTTGAATATTATTTCTTTACTGTAATATGTCTAACTGTAAAACATATATATAACAAAATCTCAAAAAATGTTGACAAATATGTTATGTAATATCAAATAAATATAAAAATATTGGTAAACACAAAATAAATTATATCTGAGAAGAAAATTACTGTTACTCGCAAAAATAAATCAAACATGTAAACTAATTTGAGTTTTATACACATAAATGTAAACTTAATCAAACTTGTGCCAGATCTCATGGACACAGCTAACCAACCTATCTTATCCTATGAATACATCTAATAATTTCTACACCAGTTAAATAATATCCTCTTTCTCCCACACAATGTAACTTATGACATCACATTATACTAACACAATGTTTTGAAATGTATTTAATATAATTTTGTAAAACTTTGTTTCCTGTGCTGCTGACCAGTAGTGCAGTTCACATGTATCTTCCTTTTTTTTTTTTTTTTTTTTTTGGCTGATTTGAACCTAAATGTTTTATTTTCCCCTGTCTTGCCAATTGTAGGGACACTGTTGGCCATGTAGAATTAGAACTTCCAGTGGCGCAAGTAGTACAGGTGATTTTTTTTTCGTATCTTTATTTATTTTCTTTTATTAATATTGCTACCATTATCAAGATGGACACAAGAATCTTTTGTTTTGTTTTAATATTCTAAAATTGTTTTGAAATCTCCAGCATTCATGTTGAGATTCTGAAATAATATTATAATTAATGTTACATTAAACTCTTGAAGGACGAGAAGCCAGGGTTTATGAGTGAACTGTCCAAATGTTCATAAAGAAAGCCAGTATTTAGTGTTAAGTTTAGCTAAACTGTTTGATTTGTTTTAGCCTTTTTTCCTTGAATTTCTAATTCAATTCACAGTTAGGAATATCATTAAGATTCAAAAAGCAAGCTAAAAAGCTAGAAATAGCTGACTTTTATAACTTAATAAGTGTCAGGTTGGGTCCCATGTGGGTTCCGGGGCCCCATTGTGGGGAAACCAAGAATGGACCCCCTGCCTCCCTAACATGCATGTTGTAGGAGTCTCCTACCTGGGGACTTCCTTTGAAGTCAGAGTGTTTCTTTGTTTATTCAATGGATCAACATCACGGCACAAGGGTAGTAACTCAGAAGTGCTCCGTTCTTTTTCTAACTCAAGCCTGAGTCTGAAGAATCTTAACTCCGTGCACCAACTCCATTGCACCGGCGAGGATCCTGA